TCATCCCCATTAAACAAAATTCTTTCAACCTTCTCAAGTCTTCCGGCTTTCTTTCCCACGTCTTTGCCCCAGATAACAGCCTATCACTTTATGCAAAGAGTATAAAGTCTTCGTCTTCAGTTCCTCTGAAATCGCAGATTCATACTTAATTCTGCTCCGTCATTAATGGAACTCACAGAGAAGCGTCCCTTCTTATCTGCTTCTGCGAAATTGCATCAACTAAAGTTGGAGAATGCTTTTACGGTCTCCCAATTCTTTTCCAAATCAACTTCACTACTTTCCAACTACACTTCTTTTAACTTGCATATATAAATCATTTCTAACCATCTAACTAAAATTAAGATGAGAAATTTAAAGGATGGCAAAAGTTTTTGTTCTTTTTTAACTTTAAAGAAGATTTCATTTTGATGACTTAATTTTATAAAATATTTTTTAATCTTTTAACTCTAACACCGCTAGTTTTGTCAACAAGAAATACCCACATTAAAATTTTAATGGTTGACAAAACATTCACAGATGCTGATGTATTAAATTTGATTTCTTAAAATTACAATGATTGGCACAAAGATGATCATTATCTAAGATTAACTGTGTTAGGGTCAAGAACTGGCAAAAATATTTTATAAAATTAAGAAACAAAAATGGAATCTTGTATGAAGTTAAAAAATCAATCTGTATTTTTGCCTTGAATCATTAGCTATGTTGTGAATGAAAAATTTTCAAATCAATCCTTATTTAAAAAACATGAATTGAAAAGAAAATAAAACTCTCTTATGCCTTACAAAAAATCAACATCCATGTCAAGTCCTTCTCAACTTTTTCCCCTCCGTGAAATAAATGTCCAACAGAGTCATTATACATAATCATCAAGTTTTACGACCTTTTCTTTCTTTCTTTATTTCTTTTTAACAATTCTTCTTTGCTTGTATGAAACGTGAAGTAGTCATCAATGTTACAAATATTTATCTTTGAAATAAATACTCATATCTCACTGTTTGTTTTTTACTTGTTCACATGGTCTCTGTTTGTTCTGTGTCTTCCCCTGCTTGAGCTATATTCCCCAAAGTTCGTTTTAATATATATGTATATATGTACACACTTTTTAGTACTTCAATATAGTTGATCGTTTTCATAAAAAAAGAAAAAGAATGTAAATTCTGAAATGTAGACTTTGAAGTCTAAATCGATGGGGGAAGAAGACTATGAAGTCTGAATCCAAATACTAAAACTTGAATTTCTGAGAAGCAAGGAATTTGGTGGGAATCATGTATCTTCTTTAATTTCTCGATCCGAAGGTCCATTTAAAATATTTGAAGAATGTGTCAGTCCTTGAACACTATTAATATTGCCGGGACGATACTGCGCATCAAGAATTGGCTTGTCTCGTATTCTAATTCTTGACCCTCCGTATGCAAATTACTTCTGAGTTTAAATGGGATTGTGAAGCCATCTGATAATGGTAGACCAGCAGGTATTGTTTGAGTGATGAACGGATCATTCAAAGATCCTAAAACCATGCCGGTTAAATTGTGAAGGTAATAAGGTATTGATCCTGAAAGCTTGTTATGTGCGAGATCCAAAACAATCACCTTAGAGAGGCTACATAGCTGTGAAGGAATGTTGCCTCTAGATTGATTAGATCTCAATTTCACTACTGATACATTTTTTGGCATCCATTTTGGTATACTTCAGAAAAATTGTTTCCTTCCAGATAGATGAGTAGCAAAGATTTGAAGTTCTGGAAAGTCAATGGCATATCTACATAAAAGCCATTATGATGTAAACCTAGTATCTTAATCTCATTCAATAAACCTATTGTTGGAGGAACTTCACCACATAGCTTATTATATTCTAAGTATATGTAAGACAAGTATGGCAAATTGCCCCAACAATCCGGAAGTTCTCCAGTGAAAAAATTATTTGATATATCCAAATACCACTATATATATTTCTCATCCTCAGTGTGACACAACAGAGACGATAAAGATCCAGAGAAAAAGTTGTGAGCCAAATCCAAACCAGAGACATTTGCTGATATATGAGGAAGGTTGCCTTCTAATTTATTAGATGACATAAATATGAATGCATTGGTTAGCAACAAGTCTGAGATATCTCCACTGAGTTGTGAGACAAATCCAAAACCAAAGAGGGCTTCACAAGGCTTTTTGGAAGTGTATCACTCAAGTGATTGAAGCTAAGATCTACAGCTGATAAAGCTGATGTGTTTCCAAGACTTGAAGGAATGCTGTTACTGAGTGAGTTATTAGATAGAATTATATTTTTTAAGTATTTGTGTTGGCCTAACCAATCATGCATTGATCCTTCGAGTTTGTTGTCAGATAGATTTATGGTATGTAGGTTTTGATAGCCTGAAAAATCTGGAATCGGACCTTTTAAATTGCATTGGTCGAAGTAAATATAGGACAAGTCTTTACTAAGATTGAACAACCAACTAAGTAGTCCATATTAGACTAGGATAAATACCAGAAAGTGAGCTGAAGTTCACATCATTCTTAACAGAAGGAAAACTGAAGCTAGTCAAATGACAGTCAACTAGAACTACTTCCTCAAGAGATGGAGAGGCCAATAATTGAATGACTGTCAAATGACAGTCTCCATAAGAAGACGAACACCACTGAGCTTGAGAATTGTCGAAGCCAATGCAGATCATCAATTTGAAGATGAAGATTGTAAGAAAAAGACAAGGTAGAAAGCTTAGAAAAATTTGCAACGAGGGAAGCAGTATTGATGGTTGGCGTGCTTATGCGTTCAAAGTCATTGTAGTCCAAATACGAGGAATCCAGAAATTCGAGTTGATTTCACCTCTCAAGGATTTTGGGCTCTTTTGATTTGGACTTTGCAGAAGAAGGGATGTGACTCTGTCGTTGTAATCACACTAAACTCCTCCCATGCACAACAATCTCCAGTAGCCCAAGAAGAGAGGCGGTTTGAAGGATCAACAATGAGTTGTTTGAAGGTTAACAGCAAGCTTCAATCCCTTTCATGGCAGCAAATGATTTTGTTGAATGTCACTGCAAATAGCAACATCAACAAAACAAGAGAAGTTAGTGATCTGAAACTAGTTTCCGTGGTCTTAAATCAAGTTTTTCCAAAAGTTTTTGATCGGTAAGTGAAGGCTCTTGTTATTTCTCCACCGTAGTTTATAGTACTATCTACAAGTGAAGTCATTCTTTGACTATTTATGTCTAGATTACATTATACAAGACCTTATGACCAAGTCCAAGTCTTCTGTTGTTTCAATGGCAGTAGTGTTTCATAAATAACGCATTAATTACCATCATCTATAGAGAAAGTGACACTTTGGTTCCCAACAAGGATATTGGTGAGACTTTGATCTCTTCAATTTTGAAAACTGTAATGTCACACACATACTTGGTTCCTAGTTGCTGGAAAAGACCAAATTTCCATAATTCCATGACAGTGACTTTTACATGGAAGCATTGTTTAGCAGTCTTTCATAAACTATTCGGAAATATACCATAATTCTCACGGGGAAGTGTACTGCAGATCACAAACCCGACCAATCATTAAACCGTTGAAAGCACCAGGTAGTTTAAAAATTAGTGATTCAATCATAGTATAGCTGTAATCAGATCAATCATGATTAAAATGTTTAGAAATATTCATATATAACTATTAAAAGAACGTCATATTTAAATACAAGCAAAGCATTAATCATGGTATCACTTTGTACTCAACATTAGGGAGTTAGGGTCTAACAATTTGTTTCGAAACTCTAATTTATATGCCGATATTGTAGAAAAGAGTATAAGAACAAAGATGATGGAAACTTATCGGTATTTAACAAATGATAATAAGCCATCTTCATGCACAAAGAAACAACTAAACTCTATTGAAATGTGATAAATAGATGCCAATAGCTCAAGGGTGACACAGTAAGAGAGTGAACCAATTACAAGAAAACCTTAGTATAAGAAGGAAGGTGGCTTAAACCAATTGCTTTATGGGAAGCCAATAAATGAAAGGGTCAAAGAATGCAGAATTATTTAGCACAACCATAAATACATAACAGGGGAAACAATCTACGTACGTCTTAGCATTTGTTTACGTTATTAATTAATAATAATTCTTCGCGCCACAAATTAGTATATAAACAACAAGACAACCTTGGCAGGCGGCCTATTTGAAATCTTTGTATCAGGTCAAAATAAAAAATCTTTGTAAAAGGGGTCTGGCTTTTAAATACTTAGACCATATTAGTATCTTGTTTAGTGATTTTTGTTTTGGGGATTATCAGGATTTCTTTTTAGTTTAATTCATCATCATTATTAAGCGTAGTATTTTTTTCCTCTTACAATTCAGTTTGTTCTTATGCTTCTTTTACCTATTTTTTTTGTCGCAGTTGATTAATTTTAAGAGGAAAATTAATAGGAATGTGCTATATAAATAATTAAATAGTGGTACAAAAAATTTAAAATGTACATGGAACTCATTTATCTCTCTCACTTTTTTTTTACAACAATAATGTAATTTTTATGGAAAATATATACTAATGCATCTTAATAGGACACCTTTTCCCCCCTTAAATTCAAAGATTGTATTCATCTTTCTAAAATTTATATTTTCCTGCATCTTATTTAAACCTATGGATAAATATCAAAGAAATAAGAATCAAATTACCCAACGTCAATGAAGAATGGTTGAAAAATAAAAGTAAAAGTTCTTCGCAATATATGCATAGTATGACTTCATATAAGCGTTTTTTTTTTTTGGACATTGATTTGGTATAGAATCAGACTGGCAAAAAAAAACAAAAAGCTAAGATATGGAATCATAGATGATGTGATTTCTTCAGTACCGGAAAAAGGATCCCGTCAATTTCTAAGGTCACCGGACAAATTGACTTCTACTTTGCTTTTTTCGTTGGATTATTTGGGCCTCTAGCCCGGTCCAATAGCAAGTTTTTTTTACCCAAAGAAAACTGGATAAATAAACCCAAAGCCCAAAATCAAATTAGATGAAATGACCATAAACCCCAAAATCCCAAATTCTTTCATTAAACCCTAATGTTCTGAACTCTTCGCCGTTTTTTGGCACCTGTCCCTCTGAACCCTCGAACTTCACCTTCGAGCAACTATCGGTCATGGCTGTGGCGATCCCAGCAGTCGCACCTTCCGCAACTGTCGAAAAGGTGAGCCCCATTACGGTGCAACAAGCCGTTGATGCTCTCCTCAAATGGAAGAATTCTAAGTCCGAGACCGAGAAGCCCAAGCTGTTTGACTCGGACGATGAATTCGTCTACCTCGTCCTCACCCTCAACAAGCTTCCTCCGAAGTCTCGGGTTAATGCCCACAAGATCCAACTTCCGCATTCCCTTCTCTCCGATTTCTCCGAGCACTGTTTGATCATCGATGACAGACCCAAGTCGAATCATACCAAAGAGGACGTGCAGACGAAGATCAAATCGGAAAATATTCCAGTTTCTAAAGTTCTTAAGCTTTCGAAACTTCAGTCTAATTATCGTCCGTTTGAGGCCAAGCGGAAGCTCTGTGGTTCTTACCACATGTTTTTCGCCGATAAAGGGGTGATTCCTTTGCTGCCCCGGCTGTTGGGCAAGCATTTCTTTAAGAAGAAGAAGATTCCTGTGCCGGTGGATTTGAAGCATAAAAATTGGAAGGAGCAGATTGAGAGGGCATGCTCGTCCGCGTTCTTGTTCCTCAGGACAGGTACGTGTAGTGTGGTGAGAGTTGCCAAAGTGTCAATGGAAAGGGAGGAGATTGTTGCTAATGTGGCTGCGGCAATCAATGGTATCGTGGAGCTCATGCCAAAAGGGTGGGGTTCTGTGCGGTCTTTTCATTTGAAATTGTTGGATTCGCTTGCGTTGCCGCTTTATCAGGTAATTCCTGATATGAAATTGAAGATTGAGGGAGCTAAGAGAAAAGAGGAAGCTAAGGAAGAGGATAAGTATGTGCAAGATAAGAAGAAGGAGGTGGCTAAGAAGGATCTTAAAGTTGGTAAGAAGAAGGGGAGGATCCATGAGGTTCGGTACATGGATGATACTATAGGTCACGAACACATTCAAGATGAGTCAGGTGTTGAAGAAGATGGGGATGTAGAAGAAGAAGGTGATGAGATTGATGAAATGACTATTGAACCAGTTCTAGATAAGAAGAAAAGGAAAGGATCAAAAACTGACAAAGAGGTTCTTACTGAGCTGAATAGTGAGAAAAAATTGAAGAAGGCAGCCAAGAACAAGGACAAAAGTAAGAAAGATGGCTTGTCTTCTAAGAGAAAGAAGGAAAATGATTTACCTACTAAGGATGAAGTTTCTGGCAAGAAGAAGAAGAAGGAAAGTTGAGAAGTGAAAGTAAAAGCTAAAAGAGTTAAGAAGGCTGCTTCTGCTGAGTAGAGAAGTGTCCTTGGTTCTAGACTCTCCTCCTTGATGGACATCGGTGTAATATTGTATGGTTTTTCTTCTCGTGTCCTCCAGCAGATTTTGTTTTAAGTATATCATTAAAGTTCCTAGTTTTTGGGTTACCCCTTTTTGCTCGTTAGCTGTCATAAAATTTATTTACACTGCTTATGATCAACTTGCGAATGCTACTCAATAGAAGGTTGTGTTTCTGGCTTCTGGTTAATTAAAGCATGATTGATATAGAATATACTAAAGGAACACATTTTAACGTAATTATGATTGGTGTTCATATTGTTATAAACAACTGCGTGAATACTGAAGTTAATCCTGCAATTGTTAAGAGAATGTTGAGAACAGGATTCAATATTCTTTCAGTTGGGAGTTTGGTCCTACGTGCACTTGAAACTTACATTTTGTATTTGTTGGTTTTGACCTAACCGCTTCACTTGCTTCTTTGACATGTTATTTAGGTGGTATGTTCTACTTTTAGTTTGATTTATCAATTTATCAATTAGATAATTACTCTCCTTGGTAAGAAGATATTGGCACTGGAATGATTGGGGGGGGGGGGGTGGGAATTTGGGCACTAATATCTTTCATTTTCAGTGTTCTAGATAATACATTGGGATGTGATGCCCTGGTACTTAAGATTTAGTTATTCCATCTGACAAAGAAACGGCACGAATTGGCACCAACTTATGGAAGTTGCTTGAGGCTTTTACTCAAGAACAGCTCTATTTCCTACATTTAAAATGCTTGTAATCTATTTTTGTTGGAATCTTGGATCTCGCTTCTCCTTACGTAGGTTTGTGACATTTAAGGCAGTCAAGCACTCTAACAGTTTACCTCTATAAAGCGCCTCCCTTGGGAAAGATCATATGTCTCTAAGCCAATGGTTAATCTTGTAGAATGACATTACTCTCTATTCCAGTATTTCCCAGTTGTCACTGAACAAAATCTTATAGAATGACAGGATTGGAAAGGGTTTCCGATTTTAAATAGATTATTGAATTTATTGTACAACTGTCATCTCTCGGACATTTTAGTCGTTCTGTTCCAGTTTGCCATATGCTGTTCAGAAAAACAGAGGTATATTATATCATACATATCTTAGTTATTCTATACAACCTATTTGAAACATGTTTACAATAATCTCGAAGATCAACACACATATAATTTATAGCAACTTAGCAAGTCATGTTTTTCACATGTTATACTATGTTTGATGTCTAGAAAAATCTGTCTATTTATGTTGGAATCTTTACTGGAGTTACCTGGAGGAGAGTTATTGCGTTTTACATTGGGGCTTGTACTTTTTTGGGGTGGTCTATCCTTTTTGTTTTTATTCAACTATATCATCTTTGGGCCATTTATTGAATTCTTTCTTTGGTTGAAAATGGAAAAGCTAACTTTTCACTTAACAATTGAATGTGGCATAAAGTTTGTACGATCTGTTTTCTTTGGTGCAGAAGTCGGATGGCTTCTTCTCAATAATCATGAGAGTTTCATTGAACTTTTTTCTTTTTTGGCGTGAAAATTTCATGAAGAAACCATTTGGTTTGCGTGTTGAGTGGATGTTGGTTTTAGTTATCTGATTTTCTTTGCCTCGGCGGACCCTTAAGATGTGTGAGCTGATACCATTATGATGTAGTTTTGATACTACAAGAATGGATACTCTCTTGATACCAAAGGACCCAAAAAAATGTTTGTCTTTTGCTATTTAATATTTATCTAGTTTTCTTGTCCCTTTTTCCCTTTCACAATGGTTATCGGGTTTTATAAATAATTCATAGAGTAGGCAGCTTCAAATCTGGAAATCTGCTGTAATTTGGTCTCTTGCAATGAAAAGAGGACATTTTAAGGTTTTTAAGGTTTTCAAGGTTTTTGAATGCTTGGACAACCCCTGGACCTCTAGCATTAACAGTGGGGCAACTTAGTTAACATTGCCTTCCTAAGACAGAATCCATTAGTTTCTGTTCCCTCAAGATTTCCTTTTTTAAAGCCAACCCCTTAAAATTTCTTTAATTTGCTCATATATTAACTTTTTCCTGCTTTTCTGTTTGTGTAAAGGCATCAAGATGTTTGATCCTTTAGGTAGAAAATGATTTTAGAGAACCAACATTCCGGACCCGCTTTTGTTCTCCCGCTACCCAAAAAAAAGAAATTCACATAACCCCATAAGAGAAAATCACGTAACAAAGTAGAATTTTGAATCGTGTTTGTGCAGAATCACCAAATATTGAGTAACTTGATTTAGTGCTTCTGCCAATGGTTAATCTTGTAGAATGACACTACTCTCTATTTCCTAGTTGTCACCGAACAAAATCTCATGGAATGACAGGATTGCAAAGGGTTTCTGATTTTAAATAGATTATCAGATTTATTGTACAAGTGTCATCTCTCTGACATGTTAGTCGCTCTGTTCCAGTTTGCCATATGCTGTTCGGAAGAACAGAGACATTGATGTATCATATCATACATATCTTAGCTATTCTATACAACCCATTTAAAATCTGTTTACAATAATCTCAAAGATCAACATATGATATATGGTTTATAGCAACTTAGCAAGAAATGTTATTCACATGTTGTGAACAAAAAATATGTTTGTCTTCTGCTATTTATCTAGTTTCCGTTCACTCGCGGGGGACAATGGTTATCGGATCTTATAAATCATTTGTACAGTAGGTAAGTTTAAATATTGAAATTTATTGTAGTTTGAGTCCTTTGCAATGAAACGAGGACGCTTTGTCTTTGAGGTTTACAAGTTAGATCTCTGGCGTTACCAGTGGTGTAACTTAACATTGCCTTTCTAAGACTGGCCCTGTTAGTTTTCCCCCCTCAAAATTTCTTTAATTTGCTCGTGTTAACTTTTTCCCTCTCTTCTCTGTTTTTTTTGAGGCATTGTCAAATTTTAAATGTGGATAGGAATTTAAATCTTGGTTTGTCATGTAAGAGAGGTTCAACAACCAATATTATTTTTGTCCTCTTTTCTGTTTGTGTCAAGAACCAACACAGGCTCTAAATCACAACAACAAAATAGAATTTTGATTGTGATTTTGGATCGCCAAATATTGGGTAACTTGATGTAGTGCCTCTTTCAAAAGGTGTGAATGATTTTTTTTTTCTTAAAAAAAAAAAAAAACTCCCAGACGAGTTTCGTCAATGGGTCTTTAAATCAGAGACATTGGTGATGTGCATGTTAGAGAAATCATCATAAAATAATTCAAATGCATCGTTAATTATTTTCCAAAGTTGCTCCAATGAGTTATGATGATTGGTGATGTACTTAGAGAATCTAATGTTTCAATTACTATCACAATATAATCAATACTCCCCTTCCCTGTAAAGCAGTTGCACGCTGAGGATGAGTAAAATAACTTGATTTATTATCACTTATTATCACCCCTGTTTTAACTGCTAAAAGGGTTGCATCACATCATTTTAATTAGGGGTCACGCAGCTGAGAATCTTAGTTGAGAATCTCCTCTACTAAAGAAAATTAAAAGAGATGATAATAATGAAAGCGTATGTTGGGTTCCATTAATGAGCTAAAAGATTGAAATACCGTTAATAACAATGCAACCAGATTGAATACTTATCAAAACACTTTAAGAATTAGTTAAAAATTTAATTTAGATTAAAATATAAAACATAATATACTATCGTTAGTATTTATTTATTTTGCTTTCAAATATCTTATAATCATTACACATCTAAGGAATTTCTATCAAATTATAGTTTCAATATATACATGACTAGTAATAATATTTAGGAAAGATAACATTTTATTTATATAATATTAAAAACTAATTTTTTTTAATATTTATAAATTAATTATTTAACTTTATATTAAAATATGAGGTAGTGCATTGATTTGATCATTTCAAGGCTAAAACAAAAAAAAAGTTTGATTTATGCGTGAATTATTTGCAAACATTCTCGTTTCGAATTAAAAACATCACCAAAACTATTTTCAAAAAAAAAACAGAGAGAGAAGAAAAGCCATCACCAAACCATCGTTTTCAAGATTATAGGATTGTGTGCAGTTTCTCTTCTAAACGCGTCATTGATGTTGTGACAATATGAACAGAACATAAAAGTCTAATAGTAATTTATAAGATATTTTTCTTATTTTAAAAGCTAAAAGTTTAATTATAGAAACCCTACTCTATTAAATGGGAAAAAAATTAATTTATTGCTTATGCCATCTGGTATCTTTTGAAGGTGTTTAAACGATTTGGTTATGGCTAGAAATTGGAAAATGATATGAAAATGAATATATTAACATTCCAAATTTTTCTCGATCAAAAAAATGGGAGAGTTTGGGAGTATTAAAAGACTTGTTCATATATGGTTATAGATTTTTTTAGCCATATAAATGTTCTGTACGTTTGATTTTCCAATATTTTTATTAATTAGTAGAGTCTGAACTTGAGTATATTTTGGGAGAAGACTTTACATTGGTCTTTGAATGGGGCAATAAAACATCACATGTCCCGTTTCAAGATTATTTGCAACTAAACATCTTAAAATGAGATGTTTGGATGAAATCAAACCATCATTTTAAGATGATTTTATAGTATACGAAATAAATATGTGAGAAATTTATCTCAATTTATGAAATGTGCTTTTAGAAAGCTCTTTAGACATTTTGAAACACCCGTTGTTATAATATGAACTGAAATACAAAAAAGTTTAAATGATAATTTATAGGACATTTTTCTTAATTTAAAAGCTAAAAGTTGCATTCCCAGAAAACATCTAATTGAATGAAAAAAAAAAAAGGTCCTCTAATTTATTCCTTACAATTTGGTTGTAGAATTGGAAAAGAAGATAAGAATGGAAAATGATATGAAAATGAATGCATTATATTCCAATTTTCTTCTAAAAATGCGAAGACTTGGAAGTATTAGAAGACTCGACCATAAAAAAATATATATGGCTATAGATTTTTTAGACATTTAAATGTTTAGGTAATGAAAATGATATGAAAATGAATGCATTAATATTCAATTTTTTTTTTCGCTAAAATGGGAAGACTTGACAAGTGTTAGAAAAGTTGACCATAAAAAATGGTTATAGATTTTTTTCAGACATTTAATGTTTGTGTAATGAAAAATGATATGAAAATGAATGCATGAATATTCCAATTTTTCCTCTAAAAGATGGGAAAACTTGGAAGTATGAGAAGACTTGAACATTATATATATATATATATATATATATATATATGGCCATAGATTT